CTTTCTCCTTTGAGTTCTTGGAAAACCTCACGAAACCTTGTCTCTATCCTCTTCCCTCAGAGCTCTGACCTCTATTTCTTCTCTTTTTACGGTCTAACAAGAATGAATCATAATCCCCTCAAAATCCCTTTTTGTTAAACCTAACTGTTGCGGTGAGAATTGAATATCAAGTTATCGATTAACTTGAATCTTAATTCATTATTCACCAACGGTCTTTAATTTGTCCAAGGGAAGGGAAAAAGATCGAAATAACTCAAAAGATGCAATGCAAATGTAAAGCTAGAGGATCTAAGGTTCGAGGGTTAGTTAAATTTATGAAAGGTGCTAGCATCCTAAGAATTTGTAGTACTCTACAGGAACCTTTTGTTTTATTGTGTTATTGTTGTTTGCTAAGGGTGAAAGACCTAAGGGGTTTATAGCATCAGATATAATGTCTCTATTGACAACGGGTAAAATGCATAGAGGCACTGTCGTCAACATTGAGAATTATGTAAGTGTTTAATTCACTAACTATTTTTTCTCTACTCACAACGTGTAAGTGTTTATGTCCTCATATTTCTTCTCATGTGCAAGTGTTTATGTCTTCATATTTCTTCTCATGTGTAAGTGTTTATGTTTCTTCTCATGTTTTTTGTAGGATGTCTCCCGACTTCATACTTATATTATATGCCTTGGTATAGATCGGTTGCAATTGGGTTTGTCTACAAAGAGAGGTATCTATACGACCCACGACAAACCACCTACGCACAAGAAGCTTCAATGCTTAACTCACCAGGAAATTATCGGACCTGTTACTCACAACCCTCTATCCAACAAAATTATCAACCCATAAACACACAAACCTAGCATGGAAACATGCCAAACACCCAACCACGATACTAAGTGCGTCCTCATACCATCTCCAACAAAATGACTATTATCAAGACACTAAAAATGCATATCCCCCCAACACGACATCAAGATACAGCCAAAACATCCAAACATCACACCGTAGCCATAACGCCCAAACATCTTTCCAGTTAAAACGCTCAAACATCACACCATAGTCTACACACACAAACATCACAACAACCTTCTGACTTTCAAACACCACTACCATTTCAACCTTTCACCAACTAAGCATTCACACTAATGTCCCCCTTCAATCGTCCAGGCCGCACACCAATGACCCTTTCATCACATCCCAACTACTCTAGCATGAGTCACGAGCTCAGTTTCAACACACAAGACTTCTTAAAAATGCAAGAAATTCTTAGGGATTCTGCTGGGGATGTTCCTGAGACCTCAAATCCTTAAACACCTGGAGTGAACCAACAACGAAGACAACAAGTGAGGGTGCCTAGGGGATGTGAAACCGGTGACCGGTATGATTAACATTAATTTATGTAATATTATTTTTAATTAAATATTCATGTTACTTATTTATGTTAAAAAAAATTGCACTTTGCACCCTATCTTCAAATGAATTAGCGACTACATTATAAACTCAACACTCTTTCATCAATTGGATTGACAACACCATGTAATGTCTCAAATTCAATTGACGACATCTCTTTAACTTACAAAGGGATCACCAATTTATCTAGCACCTACACTCAATCAATGCTCTAAACTGGAGTATTTCAGAAAATAATTTAAAAAATGAGTTATTTTAAATTTAAAAAAGAGGAAAGAATATTTAGGTAAAAAATTCACAATTAAACTCAATTTAAAATTGTGGAATTAAAATTAAAATTAATATTTAAATTGGGATCCGACGAACACCAATATTTCAAATGTTCGAGTGCAGGCTTGATTGACTCCATCGAACCCAATTTCCTCATAAGACTCATCTAACCCTCAGTTTACCAACACATAACTAAATCAACGGCCAAGATCCTCTTTCCCGCATAAGATCAAATTCTAGCCTCACGATTACTTTACTCTCATCACTCTTCTTTCTCTCTCTTCACGGAAACGGCAAAACCTTCGTTGCCGCTATCGTGTTCCCGTCGCCGGAGCCATAACCTCCACCCTCTCGGTTTTCTCCTTCCTTCGTAAGTTGATTTAATTCCCTTTTTCCTCTTCCTTTGTTTCCCCCCTAATTTAGACCAAACCCTAGATTTCGTTTCCTATTAATCATGAAATCAATACTGTTTCAATGCATTCATTTCATGAATTGTTAAATCCCTAACCCAATTTCACTTCTTCATGATCAAATCCCGTTTCCCCCAAAATTTGCTTCGAGCCCTAATCATTTAATTTGATAACATATGCTTACATTAAATGTGTCTAAGTATTGTATAATGATTGAATTATTGGGATTGATTTTTTGTTTTGTTCCTTATAATTTAAGGGGCCTTGGTTTTTTATGCTTGAAAGTTTTTTTCTTTACAATTGCATTATGATTTCTGAGTTGCTTGAAAATTTTACATGAATGTAATCTCAGTGTTCTGATTTTATATACTTACATTCATTTTGAATATGAAGTGTTTAAAATGGAAGCATTTCACGTTCGAAAAGAGTTAAAAAGTTGTCATTTCCTGGGTTTGAAAATTTGTTAGAAAATATTGAGGCTTATTTTTTAGCCATAGTTGATTGAAACTTGATTCTTAGATATATGTTGTGATTTTCGGTTAAATTTTTCCGAGTATTGGTTGAGATACTTGGTTATTAAGTTTATAGCTGGATTTTTAAGAAACAGGGTTGTGCTTACTCATTACCTATCTCTTTAGCTGCATAGTAAAGTAGCTCTTGGATGCTCGTGATTAGATTTGTGTAGCGGGATACAATATCAACCATAGTAGCTACCATTTTCAATACTTCCAGTCTTATAAGACGACTTCTAATAGAAATATTAAATTATCAATTTTTCCCAAGTTATAAGCCCTCTTGTTTTCTTTATAAAAGATAATTTTGTTGTATCTTATATGATACACATATAAACTAAATAAATAAATTATTTAATAAATTTTAAAAGAAATACAATTAATTAAATAAAAATTCCCAGGGAGGAAACCAGTAGTAAATAGGAACAATATCACAGGTTCAATACTACTAGTAAAGTGATACAATCTACGACGAACGGAGGAGTATTGAATTGGATCCCTTAATGTTCCTAAGAAACAAGTGGTCATTTCAAAGTTTGATCGATTAATCAATCAAATTAGTTGCTAATGATAATTGCTTTATCCCTATACAAGATCCACACCCTTGATACACAGTAATCAACTAGTAATGGTAGCAATTGAAAAAATTGCATACACAACTGTACAATATCTCTATAAAATGCATCATTGAAGCCATTGACTCTGTAAAAGCCAACAAAAGTGGGTCGAGAAAACACCCATTCCCGAACCGGGTCCTGCTCCGACCCGGCTCGTTTTCAGCATATAACAAACCGGTCCACACCCAATACCTTTCCCTTGAACAACTATCCCCCACACCTTCGTCGCCTTTCTTGCAATCCCCTTCAACTGTCTTCCTCCGCTGCCTCATCTTCACCTAACTCCTCCACGAATATAACTCCATCCGGCATCGGACTCTCTCCCGCCTCCCATCTCTCCTTCACCACCTCCCACAACCTGTAAGTTTTCTGTAACATTGATTTCAGCAATTGAGCTTCATTTGAATCTTAGGGTTGAAATCTCTGTGTTGGTTGATTTTGAGTTTCAGGAGATTGAACTTGATGTTAGGTTTTCTAATTTGTTGTTTTAGGGTTTTATTGATTTGCGTGATTTCTTAGCTACTATTGTTGTTGAATTTTTGCTTGTTTGGATCAGCTTATTTAGTAAAAATAAGTGATCAATGAGAGAAATGCTAGTTGGTTGAATGGCCCTAATTTTGTTCATAGATTGTTGGTGAAAAGTTGCAGTTGATTTTTATTGAATTGATTTTTGCTAAAATTGATTTTAGTTAAAAGTGTGTTTAAGATAAAATAATTTATGTTAGGAATGAATTTGAATGTAGAAATCACACTGAGGAAAAAACTACCGATTTTAGTTTCAAGATGGAATCACCAATAATTACACTAGAGAACCCCAAACAACAACAAAAACAAAGCCTTATCCCACTAAGTGAGGTTGACTATGTGGATCAATTTTTGCCATAATGTTCTATCCAGTACCATGATTCGATCTAAGATTAATTTTAAGTCTTCGGAAATTTGAAATTGGCACCAAGTGATTATAGGCTTGAATTGTGGAGTCAGCCTTTTGTAAATGTAAGACAAGGGTTCTTTTATTAAACCCACAACAGGTACCTACTCACTTGTTAGAAGGTAATGACACAAAAATGTTGATAGAAATGGGTTACTATTTTATTGAACTATTAACAGTGATCCAGTCCTAATCGCCCAATGTCGAGAATGATGACAAATGACATAGGTGCAACATTTATGGTTTGGTGGTGTCCATTTTCCCTCTAATACACTTGCCTCCAAGATATCACGTAAAAATACTTCAAATCTATCGTATAATTTTTCATTTTAGTAGTATCTTACGATTTTTGTCATGATCTTATGTTTTACGAAATTGCTTTACCCTTTCAATCTTACAAAAATAGTTGAGTAGGATCGTCCAATCTTAACTACGATCTTACTATCCCCTCCCGATTTTATGCTAGATCTCGATTTTGACAACCTTGCTTACACCACTGCCCTTACCTATGAACACCAACACATACACGAGACACGACCCTCGGTAATACTATAAAAAAATGATTTAATCGAGTGTAATCACATGTCTTGGGATCGTGTCGGATACAGACATGCCTTTATTCAGAAGTGTTGGTGCTACATTTGCCCTTACTACTGTTTCAGATTTTCTCCACTTATGACTGATGATTCTATGGAAATAAACAAATGATTCCATGGATTTTAAGATTTGTTCTAAAGAAGAGAGTTTGTGAAAACTTGGTTTGAATAGTTGTAATTAGAATTGCAGTACTTTTTAGGTGACATAGTATTGATTATTTGCTTGTTTATGATAGTTTCTCTTCTGAATGCAGACAACCTTGAAAAAATGATAATCGATAACTATGACACGGAGGAAACTCATTATGAGGTTCTCAATATTAAGGAAGATGCAGATTATGAAGAAATTCGGGCGAGTTACAGAAGTGCTGTACTCAGTTTACATCCTGATAAGCTATTGAAGACATTCGATACGTCCGGCAGTAATCAAACAAGTACAGACAAATTTCTCAGAGTTCAAAAGGCATGGGAAATTCTAAGCGATTCAAGCTCTCGTTTATTTTATGATAAGCAGCTGCAATGTTCAAGGCGGGATGTCTTGGCTGCTGAAGTTGCAGAAGATTTAAGCTTACATGATATGGAAGCTGAAGACGCCGATGAAGCATTAGAACTGTTTTATCAGTGCCGGTGTGGTGATTACTTCTCTGTTGACTCGTTGGAATTGCTAAAAATGGGGTATTCTTTGTCAAGAGATGGAAGTCGCATATCTATACTCAATAGTGATACTTTACCAGGATCAGTGATTCTTCCCTGTGGATCTTGTTCGTTAAAAGCTCGTCTGGTACTCAGTATGGATAACCATTGAAATTATTAGCAAATTTTGAATCTCTGAGGAGGATTAAAATTATTAGCATTTTAAAAGAAGATAGCAAACTACACAATCAAGTTCCTCTCCATTCAATTTAATCAATAAATTGAAGATTCAAAAGAAAGTTGTTTATGCATTCTTATTTACTCTAAAGAATGATTAAGTAGAATAATGTATATAAATTTAACTAATTTTTGAGTTATAAATTTAACTAATGTGTTTTTCATTAATACAAGTTTCTCCTTTATTTTATTTTTCCTTGTTCTATCTTCCATTATATTTAAATTTGGAGATTGAAATGAATTATCATTTATCATGAATGCCCGCTGTGTGTGAATTAAATAATCTTTCTCTGTACCTTGTTTATTGATGCATGTAATGGACATACTATATATATTTTCATTGTTCAGTTTCAAACACATAAAGCTGTTAACTAAATGAGACGTGTTTCCTTCTCCAAATGCTCATCGTCTCTATCATATTTGCTTTCGTTTTTAATATCCATATATATAGCCTTTCTACCTGGATGTGTATGGTTCTCTAGGTGCAATAGAATTTAAAGTTACCTAAAATATTTTTTTAAAACTTAATACCCATTTTCCAGATTTAAATGGTTAAATCTTCTATTATCCTGTATTGAGAGATCTAAAAAAAAAAAAAAAAACTTAACGAAATGAGTTTTGGATGGCAATGTTAACTGAGTTTTGAAAGAACTGATATATTTGGAAGGCAGTCGCAAATTGCAAGAGGGTCAGTGTGCAGTTTGAATTTGCTACTGTTTTTAATTATTACTGTCTCTGAAAACAGTTTGAATAATGGACCTAGTATATCTTGTTTATTGATGCATGTAATGGACAGACTATATCTTTCATTGTTCAGCTATCGGCTTTTTATTTATTTTGGTATTGGCCTAGTGACCAACACATACATGAACACACACGGGGAGGGGAGAATGTGGTGACCTGGTTTCGTATCATAGATTCCACATAAAATGTCTTCTCAGACAAACCATTAAACTGTAACAATGAGGGCTGTTTCAGTTACGATTTGCCATTGTTTTTAATTATTACTATGTCTGAAAACAGGTTGATGGCAAGAAGAACAAGGTTTATGGGCAGAATCTTTGTTATTTGGCCAAGTTATTTCTTGATCACAAGACCCTTTATTATGATGTTGACCTGTTTCTGTTCTATGTTTTGTGTGAATGTGATGAAAGAGGATGCCACATGGTTGGATATTTTTCCAAGGTAACAATGTCTTTTCATTATCTTTGTTTGCTGTTAGATATTTGTAAAAAAATTAATTTGCATCTAACAATATATGTGCCAGTTATCTTATTCTATTACTATAATGTTATTTGTTTTGGACTGTCTACTTTATGAGCTGAGTTCTTTAGTCATTAATGATAGTTGTTATATGAAAAATGAACTTTGTTCGAACATTCAACATCTTTAACTTGGGTAATTCTACTGGTTACTGTAATAGTTTATTCATTATTTGTTAGACATTATGGAAAACCTTATTGATATTGATTGCTTTTTTTATCATAAAAGAAAAACATTCCGAGGAATCTTACAATTTGGCATGTATCCTCACCCTTCCACCTTACCAAAGGAAAGGCTATGGAAAATTTCTAATTGCTTTCTGTAAGTCCTCCTGAAAAATATGCCTCTTCATATTTATATGTGAATGTTCGCAAAATTATTTATGATTTCAAACATATAACAGCATATGAACTTTCGAAGAAGGAAGGTAAAGTTGGCACTCCTGAAAGACCCCTTTCAGACCTTGGACTGCTAAGCTACAGAGGATATTGGACCAGGGTTCTTCTAGACATTCTGAAAAAGCACAAGGGAAACATTTCTATCAAGGTAAGCCTCTTCTATTTACTCCTTTAATGTTTGGCAATGGCAATTTGGAGTTTGTGTTTATAATATTTTGCTTGCTGGGATATATGACATGTTTGGATAAACAGTTTAATTAAGCGCTTATCATACGAGTGTTATGTTGCATTTATGTATTAGTTAGTTCTTTCTACTTGTCAATGTTGAAGGTGTTGTTTTGCAGGAGCTGAGTGATATGACTGCCATTAAAGCTGAAGATATATTGACAACTCTTCAGAGCCTAGAACTGATTCAATACAGGAAAGGACAGCATGTCATTTGTGCAGATCCCAAAGTTTTGGATCGCCATCTTAAAGCTGCTGGCAGAGGAGGTCTCGACGTTGATGTTTGCAAATTGATCTGGACACCTTACAAAGAACAAAGTTGATCCAGCAAAGAACTAGTATGATGTAACTTCTGCATGTGTATAGAGTGTAGAATAGGTTTATTAGTTGGTAACATTACCCCTTTGATGTAATGTGTATTAACATCTTAGATTATATGACAATAGAAACACAAATGATTGATTTATATGCACTGTTTGGTGTCAATAGAAACACAAAAATGATTGATTTATATGCAGTGTTTGGTGTCTGTACTAATCTGTATCTTGTATTTGACAATTGCGACATCTTATTATGTGCTAACTTTTAACATTTTTTTACAAGTATAAAAATGAAAATAAGGATGATCAAATTTTGTATCAATTAGGGTGTGCTTGTATTCAAGTTTCACATAAACATTTCTGAGAAATTGAAGTTAAGAATGTAACAGTGTACACGTTAAGAATTTATCCAAGACATTTGTAGGAATGATTGGAATTATATTTTTGGGGATAGAAAGGTTAAGCATCTTGTTTGGATTTGAGACATGATAATTTGTCGCGTTTCACACGCGTTATGTATTTATCTGTTCATCACATACTGTCTGATATAGAAAAATTGGCTCATGTGTTTCAATTATGTTTCCTGCATACAACAAGAGGTTATGTGTCTCAACACTTCAGATTAACCATTTGTGTTTGCAATGTAGTATAGAAAATCTAGGTAGAGTGGAATTTTGGGCTTTTTGAGGAATGACCATGTTGACCTTCTTGCAATTTGATTGACTATGGGACAAGGAACATTTGGTGTGTGTATATATATTTAGGTTTATCCAGCAAGTTATTAATAAGTTTTTCTTTTATAATTCATTAATTCTACGAGAGAGATCGCTGAGTTGTCACACGTCTGAGCTGTCGAACTGTTAACTTGATGGACAGAGAGGGGGGTGTACTTGAAACACACTCCGATGCCAAAGTAAGTGACGAGCAGAATGATAGCAAGTACAGAGAGAAGAGTGAGAAAATTAAGTTACCTGACCCTCTAGTGGAAGATGGTATTTACAATGAGCCCCCAGCGTAGGGCCGACGGTTACCTTGCGTAGGGCCGACGGTTACCTTGCGTTGGGCTGGGCTGTCAGACCCAATGACGGTAACTGCTAGGGCTGGCGTGGTGTCGTGAAGACCAGCACGTGGTCTTCGCCCTAGGGTAACTGTTTCGCGCTATCCGGGAGGTAGAAGACTGAATCTCCAGGACGTGGGTAGTTACTTGATGACGTGTCCCTGCGTGGGGGACACGTAGAGAGCGTGGGGGAGGTCTGAGGAGCTCCCCGGACAGGCTGGGACGTGTCCTACGACAGGGGAGAAAGAAACCAGTCGGATAGCCACGAGGGTTCTGCCTGACGGCTAATAGCCTGTGTTCGCCGAGAGAAAATGCTGTGCCCGACAGATCTTTTGCCCGTCCGTGTGGTACTATTGGGTCCAAATTTAGTGGAGTTTGGGTCTGTTCCATTTGCGGGCTAAGTGTCGGCCCAGTCCAGAACATAAATTGTTTTTAATAATTATGATTTAAAATGTTCTCCAAATATATTAAATATGGAGATCATATATTTTGGAATTTCCTGCACCTTTTAAAAGCCAATTTCGTTTTGTGTGTATCTTTCAAAAGCTTAATCTCGTTTAACCCTTTTCAATAAGAGACAATCAAGCTCTGTTTGATATACTTACCTCAAAAGTCCAGTCTCATTTGATATACATTTCAAAAAGTCTAATCTCATTTGACATCTTTTAAAGTCCAACCTCGCTAGACAACTTTCAAAGTCCAACCTCGTTTGACACATCTCAAAAGTCCAACCTCGCTTGACACCTCTCAAAGTTCAATTTCGCTTGGCGTGCACCTCTCAAAAGCTTAACCTTGCTTCACTCTTTTCAACAAGAGAAAACCAAGTCTTACTTGACATACTTACCTCGAAGTCCAATTTCCATTGGCTCACATCCATTAAACCATTACATGCATCGAAAAATCATTATATTTTATGCATGAGTTCATGTGTATCATATTCACAGATGTGGTGTATTATGCCAAGTAACCAAAGGCATGTCTTGCACCAACCTCTTATGCATCAAGCAGAGCAAAACATGATCAATCATACAACATAGCTCGAATCTTGTCCAATTCAAGCTTATCCAAAGCCTTATTATTTGTAGACATCGATCATATGATTATCGTATCCCCAATAGATTGTCTCAGTTAATCCCATGCAGAGTCAGTAATCTGGTGAAAATGACTGAATTATATCATCTGATCTGGCTGTTGAAAGTAAATACTAACTCTTGGGTTAACGCTAACCTTTCATATCCCCAGCGAGTCTCCTTGAATTTTGCATTCTCCAACGAGTCTCCTATCTATCTTGATCTAAGCATCGGCATCCGGGTTGACGACGATCAATTTTGTCTTGATCTAAGCATCAACCTTTGGGTTGATGACAATAGGTTTTGTCTTGATCTAAGCATCAACCTTCAAGTTGTGACGATCAGTCTTGTCTCGATCTAAGTATCGACCTTCAGGTTGAGGACGATCAATTTATCTTGATCTAAGCATCGACCTTAGGGTTGAGGACGATCAGTTTGTTTGATCTAAGCATCAACCTTTGGGTTGGTGACAATCAGTGTTGTCTTGATCTAAGCATCAACCTTTGGGTTGACGACTGTATGTTTCTTGATCTAAATATCAACTTAGTAGTTGACGATGATCAATGTTGTTTTGGTCTAAGCATCAACCTTTGGCTTGATGATGATCTGTTTCTTAATTTAAGAATCAACATTTGGATTGATGACGATCAATGTTATTTTGATCTAAGTATCAACCTTCTAATTGACGATGATATTTTGATCTAAGCATTAACCTTTGAGTTGAAAATGGTCAATTTTATCCTTGATATAAGCATCAACCTTTAGGTTGATGATGATCAGTTTACCTTGATCTAAGTATCAACTCTTGAGTTGACGATGATCTCTTTTCACCTTGATCTAAGCATCAACTCTTGAGTTGACGGAGATCTTGTCATATTTTTTTTATCTAAGCGTCAACTTTCGAGTTGACGATAATCTTGTCTTATATTTTTTTATCCAAGCATTAACTTTCGAGTTAACGACAATCTTGTCGTATCTTTTAATCTAAGCATCAACTTCCGAGTTGACGACGATCTTGTCGTATCTTTTTTTATCTAAGCATCAAATTTTGAGTTGATGAAGATCTTGTCCAATTCGATCTAAGCATCAACCTTTGGTTTGATGAAGGTCAGACTGTCTTGATATAAGCATCAACCTTCGGGTTTACAATGATTAATCTATGTTGATCTAAGCGTCAACTCTTAATTTGATGACGATCTTGTCGTATCTTTTGGATCTAAGCATCAACTCTCTAGTTGATGACGATCTTGTCTTGTCTTTTTTATCTAAGCATCAACTCTCGGGTTGACGACAATCTTGTCTTATCTTTTTTATCCAAGCATCAGCTCTCGGGTTGACGACAATCTTGTCTTAGCTTTTCAATCTAAGCATAAACTCTCAAGTTGACAATGATCTTGTTGAATCTTTTTGATATAAACATCAACTCTCGAGTTGACGATGATCTTGTCTTACTATCCGATTTTAATTGTTCTCTTATTTTCTCTATGTTTCTTCAAGCACTCCAGTAGGCGAAATTTGAGTATTTCTTACTTAATTACCTTTAACATAGATGATATGAATGCTTTGGTCATTCATATTCTCTAAGCAAGAGATAATTAAATATGGACAACTGTCATACTCTAAATTTTGCCTTTAAATGATATAGTCATTTGCATCACCACATGCATTGCATCCCCTTAAATCATAAGTCAACAAAAAATCCAACCTTCTAAATCGCTCAAAGTTTAATCCTCATTCATCACATATTTCTTTAATTATTTGTTTTTCATATGCATTGGCCGTGTAAATTTAGATCGCTTTGGTCATTTTTATTTTCTTGCATTAGAATTAATCTTGTAGAAAGACAAACAAATGTCAAAAGATTCAACTTGTCATTCAAAATTCAAGTTTTCATAAACAAATGTCAAAAGATTCAACTTGTCATTCAAAATTCAAGTTTTCATTTACCATGACTAAGTTTTTATCCATCATATTTCATTATATATCATTATAACATTAATCATCACCATACATCATGTTCATTACATCACATTTGAAAATCATAAAAAGACTTTTTGCATTGTTGTTACTATAGGCCATTCACATTTTTATCTCTTTTTTCTTCTTCTTAATATTATCTACATTTTCTTTTTCACTGAAGATTTTATTTTGACACTAAAGATAAGTTCAAAATATCCCTTTATTATAATATCACACACATGGCCATCTTATGACTCTATACCAATTTTATACCATATCATTATATTGGCCTCCTTTTATTATTCACTAAGTCACCACAAAAATCAAAAACTAAAAATACACAAAAAGACAAAAAAAAAATGAATAGAATAAAATACCATAGATAATCCAATCAAATTAACATCATCATCATTCATGAACAATTACACATATACATACACCATGCATATGTTTACATCAAAAGGAAAAGTTCACGTGGATTTTTCTTGTTGACCTTATAATTTTCACATATTACTATTAAATGCATACATACACATACACATACACATCTATCACAGTGAGAATTGGATATCAAAGTATTGATTAACTTGAATCTTAGTTCATTATTCACCACCGGTCTTTAATTTGTCCAAAGAAAGGGAAAAATATCGAATTACCCACAAGATGCAATTCAAATGCAAAGCTAGAGAATCTAAGGTTCAGAGGTTAATTATGCCTAGGAAATGTGTTAGCATCCTAAACATCTGTAGTATTCTACATGAATCTCTTGTTTTAATTTGTGCTATTGTTATTTGCTAAGGGTGAAAGACCTAATGGTTTATTTCTAAGTATACTCGTCAATAAATCGCATCTTGTGCCTACGTATCCTGACAGGAATGAAATCAGAGTATTCGTAGTTCCCTTAAAAAGGGATCGAG